GCAGACAGGGCACTGGATGGTTCCACACTGCAGACAGGGCACTGGATGGTTCTACACTGCAGACACGGAGCAGGAGAGGTAGCTTCGACTTCTAAGTTCAGATCAGTAGGCAATAGAAAGAGTGACACTGGGTCTGGGTTGAGCATTTGAAACTGCCAAGGTCACCTCCACGGACAGACTTTCTCCAACAGGCCACACTCACTCCAAGAAGGCTGACGGTCCTAGTACCTGTCTGGTAGCAGTGCTCCCTAATGGCCAAGCACTGACACCTGTGAGCCTTTGGGTTCCATTCTTATTCAGACCACCATAAGCAGTAAGCAACATTTTCCAAGTTTACAGCATGTGTGGGATGCAGAGGCCTATCATTCATGGTTATGTAATTTAGTGAAATCTGTAGCTGCCCTGTGCTGGGAACTTCGTATATAGTGATTTTTCTTTACTAATCTCCAAATGTGTGGTGTGATTTCACATTGGGAAGACACATTAATTCCAGAACAGCTTCACTTCCAGGCTTTCAGGAAAATATGTTTACCACAGGGTTTCCTACGTTGACTCTGGTTGCCTTCCTCCTGTACAGGCCTTCTTAGCCAACCTCCTCAGTTCTTGCATTAAAGGCTTGTAGCACCACACAGTTTTAAAAATAATCCATTTGATTTACACAGTGGTGTGTTTCATGTCGGTAGCAGGACTAGGACCTGTGTGTGGGACATGGCTCCTCTATTGACAACAGAAAAGAAGGAAGTGACTGTTTCCTGTGTGTACTGCAGGTCTAAACAGGCAGTAGTGGGGTTGCAGGCTTTTACCGTGTGCTCAGTGAACTGTAGGGTCTCCATTACCCTGTTGTGGTAGGTGAGCATCTTTCTGTGTACTTTCCCAGCATGCATTAATTCATACCTTATGAATTAAGGCAAACCAAATTAATGGATGTAGAATTTAGGGACGTTATCTTGGGTCAATGAAATTTCCAAGTGGCCAACTCTCTCATATGTGTAAGTGCAAACCTGGTTGACTCCCTTGAGTGTGGTGACTGAAGACACCGGTATTGAGACACAGGGCGTTTGGCTGTGGCTATTGTGTCAGTGTACAGCACTCAGCAGTTCACATTTTACATAGGGTGGTTCATACGCTGTCTTCTTAATGTCGCCTTCTCTACCAGGAGAGAACTTATATTGTTTTAAAGTCAATATATCCAGATAGATTTTGAAAGTTATTTGCATTACCCTGATGTCTAAGGACTTTGGACATTTCTTTAAGTGCTTCTTGGCCATTTTATATTCTTCTGTTAAGAATTCTCCATTTAGCCTTGAACACCATTTTAAAAACTGGGTTATTTGGGTTGATGGTGTCAAACATCTTGAGTCCTTAATAAATTTTGGATATTAGCTCTCTGTCAAATGTAGAGTTGGTGAAGATCCTTTTCCCAATATGTAGGCTATTTTGTCTTAATGACAGTGTCCTTTGCCTTACAGAAGTTTTTCAGTTTCATGAGGTCCCATCTGTCAATTGTTGATCTTAGAGTCTGAGCCTGTAGGTTTAGATTTTTCAAAATCTACTTTAATAAGAGTTCTCAAACATTTCAACCCCTCTTCTAGCCCATGATACTAAGGTAGGGGAGAAAAGATGGGTAATAGGACAATGGGGATGTAGACCTCTTTAGAAGTAGTTCTTTGGGGCAATTACAATCTTTGTTGTCAGGATATCAGCAGGCCAGTTCAGTAGTGTTAGTATACCAATAGTCCAGTTCAAAAGAGTTATCAAACATGCGTCAGCAATGGTGGCACTATCTAGCAGAAACAGCCAGGCCTCAGCCAAATTGACAAAAGTCAATGGGAACAACCAGAACCAGCCGGAATGCTGGAAGAAGTTCTCTGCCATGTTTCTCTCAACGAAGTGAAGTTCAATGAAGACTTGAGACCAAGAAAGCATTACACAGCTATCTGTGCAAGCACACCATCACTGTCTGTTGGATCCTACTTATATCCTCTCCAAACATCACGTGTGCTCTCATGGGTCTGCTTCAGGAAAACATCACATGAGTCTGTATCACAAGGCATAACCAGAAACTTCCACTTCATGAGCCATTGGTGTGCTGTTCAGGAAGTTGTCACCTGTACCAATGAGTTCAAAGATATTCCCCCACTTTCTGTTCTATTAGATTTAGTGTATCTGTGTTATGTTGAGGTCTTTGATCCTACTAGACTTGAGTTTTCTTTACAGTGGTAGATATGGATCTATTTGTATTCTTCTATATGCATACATCCAATTAGACTATTTGATGAAGATACTTTTTCCCCATTGTATGGTTTTAGCTTCTTTATGAAAAATCAAGTGTCCATAGGTGTGTAGGTTTATATCAGAGCCTTTGATTAGATTATTGATCAACCTGCCTGTTCCTATACTAATACCATGCAGTTTTTATTAGTATTGCTCTATAGTATAGCTTGAAGTCAGGGATGGTAATACCTTCAGAAGTTGTTTTACTGTACAGGGTTGTTTTAGGTATCTTCAGTTTTGTTTCTCCATATGAAGTTGATAATTGCTCTTTCAAGATCTGCAAAGAATTGTGTTGTCCTTTTGATGGGAGTTGCATTGAATTTGTAGATGGCTTTTGGTAAGATGGCCACTTTCACTATTCTAATCCTACTGATCCATGAGCGTAGGCTATCTTTCCATCTTTGGATGTCTTCTTTAATTTCTTTCTTCGAGACTTGAAGTCCTTGTCATACAGGTCTTTCACTTGCTTGGTTAGAGTCCTACCAAGGTATTTAATATTATTTGTGGTGTTTTGAAGAGTGTTGCTTTCCTGATTTCTTTTTGTGTCCATTTATCATTTGTATAAAGGAGGGCTAATTTTTTTAAAGTTAATTTTGTATCCAGCCACTTTTCTGAAGTTGTCAGCTGCAAGAGTTCTTTGTTAGAGTTTTTGGGGTCACTTATGTACTATCATATTGTCTGTGAGTAGTGATACATTGACTACTTCCTTCCCAGGTTCTATCCCTTTGATCTCCTTTAGTTGTCTTATTGCTTGAGCTAGAACTTCAAGTTCTATATTGGATAGATAGGGAGAGAGTGGGCAGCCTGTCTTGTCCCTGATTTTAGTGGAATTGCTTTACGTTTCTCTCTGTATAGTTTGATGTTGGGTATTGGCTTTCTGTATATTGCTTTTAGTATGTTAGGTATGTGCTCTGATCTCTCCAAGACTTTTAAAATGAAAGGGGCCTGGATTTATCAAAGGCTTTCTCAGCATCTGAAGAGTTGATCAAATGATTTTTTTCTTTCAATTTGTTTATATGGTGGATTTTCATTTATTGAAACATTCCTTCATCTCTGGGATGAAGCCTACTTGATAATGGTGGATGATATTTTTGATGTGTTTCTAGATTTGCATTTA